CCTACACGATTCTTCGCACCTCGTCTCGGCTCATTTTAGTCTTTAGAATGCAAGCAAGATGGATGATGTATCCGCTCATTTTTGTTTGGTTCCTCCTTTTGGAATCTTCATAATTTTCTTTCCCTTTTTTTGTAGGAGATACGAAATTATTGGAATTGAGAATATGACAGATGAAGCTTCCTGTGGTATTATTATAAAATATACAGCAAAGACAATTAACTTCAACTTCTTCAACTTCAGTTGTAATTACTAACTAGACTCAAATGTTAATATTAGAACGAGTGAAACAGTCAAAATGACTGGTTTTTCTTTCTATAGTCATTGTAAGTATAAGTATTTCAGCGAAATTAATATTGATTTTTACTGAGATTTACACGTATTATGTTTAGGTAGATTTAACATTTACAGTGTGAGATCATATTTGGATAGCTATTTCAATGGACGACTAATGAGAATTTGATTGGTAGGAGGAGAAAGATACTTATATCTAATACAATGCATATGTATACACTGTTGTTAAGTTAATCTGAAAATTGAGTCAGTTTGAAGGGAGTAGAAACAGACTCCTCAACAAATAATGGTTATCAAACACGGTTATCAAAAGGTCTTCTAACTCATGCTGAATGTAATCTTAGTCCCTTAAATACGCCAGCACAATCTCAAACATTGTCTTTTGCAACAGATGCCCCCGTTGCTTTGACCAGCGAACGGTGACACGAAGACTGCAAAAAGTTTCTTCAGCATCGTAGTGGGAGACCCTTGAGCCGGAGGCTGTTCAACACGATATCATCAGGCTGTACCAGTAGCGGAGGAAGAGGAAACCGGGAACTGAGCGAAGAGCGGGATCGAGGGCGAGCGAAAACGTGCACGGTCGAGTGAAATAATTTCCTGGTGTCCTCAGCAGCCACGAAAGAGGAAGAACGGAAGCGAACTGGTCTTTCACAAAGTTTCTTGGACACTCGAAGAAGCTTCTACTGTGAGAAACTGCTGGATAATGGTCCCAGGGGTAGACGAAGGAGAGACCAAGTGATCCTTCGGGATAAAGGGTGTGCAGCGCGCGTACACACAAAAGGACGTTCTTCCGTTAGCGTGTGTACGACTCGGTACAAAGCGTATCCTCCTAATCTTCGAGGAGTCCTGCTGGAAAGACCAAATCTCCGCTGCGTCCTCCTTTCCCGAGTACTCACTCCGCGCGTGCTGCTCCGTTTTCCACATGTATGCAAAGTCAAGTTTTGAATACGAGAGAAAGGTCTGTGTGTTGGTCGAATCACCAACAGAGCGTATATGCAAAGCCATATTATAGATGTTTTTGGCGTATACAAACTGAATTTGTGTACATAATGTGTAGAGTTGGAGAGATGATTAGCGACAGGGTCAAGAGTACTCTTGATGCTTTCGAAATCCTTACTTTTAGGTTCTTGGTAGCACACGTTGGTATTGTATATTTTTTGTATTATGTTGATGATTAATATTAATTCCACGCGTATGTTAATATTTCTAGCGTTATATCTCACATAATCGCGGTACACGTATTCTGTGAGGTCTCTAATGTACATGCATTAACATTCGTTAAATTTTAAGATAATTAAAATACGCATAAAGCTTTAGAGACTGAAGCAATTCGGCATCTTCGTTAACAATAAAATTCTCTCTATTATCAACAGGGACCAATTTTGCAGTCAGAAAGGGATGTGTATACGTATAAATTCCAAGATCAATTTGAATAATTCAGCCTAGAATACAGAAGCAGAATCTCGTCTAGAAGATGTACAATACCATCTCATCGTCGAGACCCTCTCCAAAACCGACGAGGAAGAGAGCGAGAGTACATGAACCCTCTCCTAGCAACCTCAGGATCTTCGACCTAGCAAGAATACAGGAGACCATCGAACCAACCAACCAACCAGCCAACCAGTCGAGAATCCCCCGCGGTGGTAGGCACTGGCCCGAGAAATTCAATTACGGCTAAACTTCTCGACTGAAGACGCGCCTCGTCTGTACATACTACTGTAAGCACTCTGTTTCGAAGATCGAAGCAGAAGAGACATCCTGTGTGTACTCGCGACCCTTCTCCACCTTTCACAGAGAAAGGAGGGACTCCTGTGTGTCGGCCACGCGACGAAGGCGTAGGTGTAATTGAAACCGAGTGAAATCGAAGTTTCCACCCCCATGGCTGCTCCTTGCAAAGACAAGGGAAACGAGAAGAAACTGGAAGAAGTGATTTTTTGTCTGATGAAAAGATGGTAGACGATATTACCTGGTTCTGTTTTGGGTTAGATACTTACTTCTATCTGTTTCCTTTACACCCCTTCTTAAGAGTAAAGGAATTTATAGGGGATTAAAGAGTCTATTTGTTGAGAGATTTGGTATTTTGTTCTCTGAGATTCTTGCTCTTTTGTCTCTTCAATTTTTGTCTTTCATGGCCCACCGTGGTAATGATTGAAAATGTCATTTTGGAAAAATTATCACTTTTACTCGAATTAAAACAGAATAGCCAGAACCAACTATCAGAGTACATTTTTAAAACCAGCTTGTAGTTATCGCATTATAACTGTTGCAATCTTCATTTTGTTCAATTGACAAAATTTGCTTGTATAGTCTAAAGATGAATGAAAAATGTGAAACAGTCGAATCAAAAAGGCTTATGGTTTTTTTGAAAAAAATTCTCAAAGATGACTTCTTTCGCTACCCTAAAAATCATAGACCCCCTTAAACACCTCGAAGCATAGGACGCAGAAGGAAGGCTCGAACAAGCGAGTCTATGGCTATTTTCATGTTTTTCCGACAATTCCAGGAAACTGCGATAGGAGCAGTAAAAATGACACGCGTCTAAGAGTGAAACGTGCGTGAGAAAGGCAGAGAGCGTATGCGTTTAGCACGCTTGAGTTGTGTACGAGTGCCCATTGGGAACGTGCGTGAACATACGCGGTTAAATAGGGCAAGTGGCCAGAGACCATAATGTTAAGTAAATAATAGCCAAACTCCTGGCCCCTTATTATACCACTCAAAGCTAAAGTCTCGTACTCGTTAGTGGCGGCTTTTCTTCCTTTCTCTTTCACTCTCTTTCTCTCCTTTTTTAATTCTCTCCGCGCACGACCCTTCGTTCCTTTCTCGAGACTTCTTTCTCTTCTTACTGGCTCATTCTCACCCTCCATGAAGTGCACACGCGTGTTGTTCACCTTCCCATAAGAACGAAAAGCGTGCGCCACTCTCTCCCTGTTACCGTGGCCTGGCGAACGCGTCGCACGCGCGATTTCGACGATGACCCACCTGTTTGGTTTCAATAATCGCCGTTGTTATGCACGCATAAGATCGCGAAGGCAGTCGCACGAAGGTTTCCATCTTTCCGAACCTAATGGCGGTGAAAGCAGAGTGGCCACCAGATTTCTCGAAGTATCACTTAGCACCCAACTTATTTATTTCAAAAATACCCCTAGATATTAGTTGCACATTGTGCCGCTTCTGTCACAATTCCAACACTACTATCCTTCAGAATGTCATGAACAAACCTACATGCATCTTGCTATTGCTGTGATCCAAAATCCGAAGGACCTAACTATCAACTCCATTTCTTCTCTTCGAAATTACCTTCGAGAACGCTAGAAGTCGCAAGAGTCCTTAATGTTGATGCCGTGTTTCAATGTCAATTTACGCTTTGCAATTCCAATTTAGAATTCCACTTACCGGCAATTCCACCGACGATGGACTCCTGTTTCTCGATTTTAGGTTGCCGATATTCGTCCTGAGGAAGCCTCTTCCTCTGCAAGAGGCTGCAATCGGGCTGCTGGTGCTGGAGTTGCGTTTGGATGTGCGCGGCGGCAGCCGCGGCCGCGGCGGCTGCTGCCGCTGGAATTGCCAAGCCGGCTGGACTCGCTACGTGAGCCGGATGCGGGGGCGGACTACCAGCTGGCGTGGTGGCACTCGCTGCACCAGGCAATACGGGGGCGGTGGTGCAGCTGCCTGCATTGTACTGCAGTTGCAGGCCCAATTCGCGAGCTTCACTTTCCTCCTGGGCCTGTTGCCTCCGTAACGCGACCTGCAAACAGTTTCTCTCGTCAGTTCGCTGTTGGAAAGATACACTCGGATACGGAATTGCGATGGAGCTTCTGTCAGGGCTGGAATTGGGACACGGCAAATTGACTCGTTTGTGAAATGATGTCTCAGATTCCTTGAGACTTTTAATAAATTTTAAATTTCGAATCATTTTTTTAGAAGAAAGTAGTTAAGAAGGAAGAAATAGTGGAATACATGCATGGCGGAAACGGAGTTGCGAAGTTTAAAAGAGGTTAGGATTTTTGGAGTGGTGCCTTTATTAAATAACGAAGCTTCGAAGTTTAGTAGGTTGGTCATAGTAATTTTTAGCTTTCGTATAATGATACTGTCATGATGTGGGTATTAGGTTTACGATATGAGTAACGAGATAACCTAAGACGCAATACGGGAACGTCAAGCAGGTCTAGCGTTACCATTCGTCCGGAATCAAATTGCATGTTTGAAAATTCGTGACTCGTTGAAGACACTCTCGTAGTAACACTTAAGATCTAAAAGATCAACTTGTCATTAAGCTTCTATTACTTCCAACATTCACGAGAGGGTTCTAAACCCCTAAAATGAAATGTGACTATTGTAATTAAATCCTAATGATATTAAAACACATAAAACAATAAGAGAAACACGTCACATATCTCAAGAGGCGCTCTATGAAACTTACTTCTATTAAAATTACGTAATTGCTACACTTTCTCTCTCATCTTTGCTAATGAAAATATTATAGTAATATCAATTTAATATGAAGCGAATACTTCAGTTTTAAATACTATTTGAAAGCTAACAAGTCCCCATTGACGACATTTCAATATCCCCCACAATTTTCTTACTTCACGAGCCAATCGTTATCACGGACTATTAATTTTTAACAATCGATACTAATCGACACTAATAATAATGGTATAATTATGGTATATTATCCAAAGCAGATTAACTATTAGTCAACATTAATGCTTCACTATTTGTTCCCGTAATAAAATTAAGCAGCGACATTTATTCTATTAATATTTCGTAATGACAGTTACCTGGGCAGCCATGACACGTTGTCTCTCGGCGATTAGTGTACATTTCGCACACACGCAGTCCCGCCAACGACAGTATCGTTTGTGACCTTTCAACGCGGAAACAACCCCGTGGTTACGACATCTTGCACACTTCGGTGTCCTTTGATATCTCTCGGCACTGGCGCGAAGGAAAAACGCGGCTGGTAGCACGTGATGTTGCTGCTGTTGCTGCTGGTGTTGCATCAATTGACCCACGTCAACACCAAGACCGACACCCCGCGGCAACGACATTGTTTCAATAGGCAAGTAGTAGTAGAATCTACGTGATCAGTCAAAAATGTAGAAAAGAAACGAAAACCGATTGATCACTATGTGAACGAACAATGAAATGAACGATGGTCACGGATCGGTAAGCATCGTCGTTAAACTCACAATAAAAAAGCCTGATCACCGAGAATAGTCATTTTCGACCGAGCATAAAGCCCAGTACGCACTAACACGCGTCGCTGACATCCTAACACCGTCGGGAGGAAATCATTCACTACCGAAAATTTGTCATAACCTCTAACGTTTAACTTGCGATTGCATTACGAGGTTTCTTTCAGTCTGTTCTCTGCTGTTTCCAGGCTGTACACACTATGTCGTATATATCGAAGTCCTGGCCACGTCAATGGTTACACCGAAACGTTACTCGATAAAGGAAGACCACAGAGTTAAACGGTAGTCGGTTGTCACACGGGGTCTTCTTACTTCAACCGAAGAAATCACATTTAACGCTGTTCGGTAGAAACTCTCGAACCGGCACCGTATAGTGAACGGACGAGAGAGAACACGGGAGAGAGAGAGACGGGTATAGGGGAAAGAAAGAAGAAAGACGGAGGAAGTGGCGACGAGTACGGCGAAGAGAGAAAGCTTGATTGCTAGACACGCGCACGCGCCCACACTTCCGAAAGTTCACCGGCAGAGAACAGCGGCGGCACCACCGCTCGTACGGGTGTCGGGGTACGAAATGCGGAATCGCCCCGACTCCTTTCGTAGCACTCTCTCTCACTCTCCGGCATTGTCAACAATTGCAGCATCCCGGGAGAGTCGATTCAGGTAGCGTGGAGAGACAGAGAAGCGGTGGTGGTAGTGGTGTCGGCAGCAAAGAGGGAGCCGAAGGCGGACGGATAAGGAGGTGGGGGGCCATTGGCGTGGCGGAGGGGCGGATAGAAACCGAAGGGGGGTTTAAAATGTCGCGAGGGTAGAGAAAAAGGGAACGAGAGAAAGAGAGAAAGATAGATAGAGACAGAAACGGAAAGTGTGGAGGAAAAATGTGGAAGAAGGTGGAAAAGTGCACGGGGAGAGGGTATGGAACGGTACACTGATACGAAAAGAAACGAACGAGCACGAAAGGGACCGATGTTACGCGAAGAGAAATGCGTAGGAGCGAGACAGCGCGACAAAAGGAGAAAGAAGGAGCGAGAGGGGAAAGAGAGAAGGAATTTATCGGGGAGGGATAGGGCAGAAACTAACAGCCCCTCCACAGTTGCGCGAAATAAAACACTGTGCCACAGTGTTCCTCCCCAGGGCTTCGGCCAAACGCAAAGCCGCGCTTAGGCACGGCCACGCCCGCGCACCTACCCGATTGGCCGAACATGCTGTTCCACCAAGATGTTAAGAGTTTATATCTGGTTGGGGTGAAAGGGGGACATACCTAACCACGTACCCACCTACCTACTCACCCTCGATAAACTATGCGTACAGACGCGCGTATCAGACGTGTGTACTTCCTATCGTACTGGTGGAGGCAAAACGGACAAACACATTACTCTTTTATTTAAAACCCGTTCCAACGTAAAACACAATGGAGCGATGCTCAGACGTTTCTCTCTATGCTCCGCCTTTTGTTTCGTCCGGACTGTTTTTAACCATGCGCGCCTTCTTCGTCCCCTTCACAGAAGGAACATATCCTTTCTTTCTTCCTTTTTCCATTTTTCTTCTTTTTTCTATCCTTTTTTTTTTAATTCTTTCGCCTTTTTTCTCTTTCCTTTACCCCGATTCGCTTGGTCACGGTTGCTCGCCCGTCTCTTTTCTGCTTCTCTTTCCTTTTCCCTTTTTTGCTTTTCTTCTCCGTTCTTTTTTTTCAGATCCATCGAGTTCCACTCTCTGTGTAAACCACACGGGCCCGCAACGTCATAGCGACGAGCCTTTCTTGAATCATATTCTACAATGAGGTTTCAATGGGGGGAAGCCCTATTGTCGTTCACCAATGGCGACCGATTTTATAGTGATCTAATGTACAGATGTTATTTACTCCGCAATGAGAACGGAATAAAAGCTTTCTATGTATTAAGCATTCTGTGATTTGGATCCTGTATATCTCTCTGCTTACCTACCTACTCCTGCCTGTCTACGAGCGTTGCGTATAATAATACGCTCTGCCTTGTATACCGCGCACAATGGCACTATTACTTTTGACTTAATCATGCGAACGAAAGTAACTATATCGGTGTGCTTCGTAAGAACCAGTATTTACATGCAAATAATAGTTATTCCTAGCTACTTATGGCCGACCCTGTTACGTTACACGTAACCTAATATCGAAACGTAATATGCAACTACTAAATATCAGGTATCGTATTTGGAACTCTTTCATGTTTTGCGTTTCATTTTCCTTGTTTTCTTTTTTTCTCTCCGATATATCGTCGTATAGTTACATGGAAACAGTGACATGTGAACAAACAGCGTAAACATACGTTTATTTTCAAGTGATGTTATATGGATAGTGAATAGAAAATTGGTAGAACGAAAGTAATGAGTTTGACCGTTCTCTCCAGTGAATGGCACGTTTCAACGCGTTACGAACCGATTAATCCACGCTCGTGCGTCATTAGTGAGAACGCAATGACGGTTTGAGCAACATTAAAAGCCCGCACGCGAAACGGTATTCGTCGACGCCGTCGATCTACACCGACACGGACCATTTTTTACTCTGGCATATCAGCCACTCAAAGCGTACGTACGCGCCGATGGATAAATCAATAAACCAATAGCTATGGTAATGCACACCTGCTTTTAAAGTATCAGCCAACCCCTCTGCGCTCCCGTTTACGCGATTCGCGCAGTTATAAGCTGAACAAGATTTTCTGCTTCCGCGAATTATTACAAATTGCGATCTGTAAAATCGTCGAGACTATCGGGAGCCAATTTAATATTTAAATACCATCGATTGAATACCATCAAACATTCAACCCTTTTCACTCTGAGAAATTTTTTATTTCGTCGATCAGCAACCCCAATACACCTTTACATTAGCAAGCATTTCGAAAGAAAAAATTTCGTTTTGACTTTATTTATACGGTAAATTAATTTACTTATCTATCTTTTTAGACAAAAGTAAAGATAGCCATTATGGCACCAACAGAGTGCAAAGGATTAAGAAGCTTCACCGATGCTTTTAATTTTTCTGATTTATTTATTAATAATTTTTTAGTTTATCTATTTTCTTACAGATAGCTTTTTGTACGACGAAATCAAAGGTTACAAAATGTTCTCAGTTGTCTGAAGATAAAAAGGGACAATTCCTTCAAAGACTCTCCCACGATTCTTATGTCTTAACCTTAGAATGTTTCCAGATGTATCCGATTTGCCGGCAGTAGCAGGTACCTTCGGCTGTTTACATGGGGGAAAACGGGAAATCGAGATCAAAATCGCATCTGTATAGAGTTACAATGTTTGCCAACATCACGCAGATCGACAACACTGTGGGAACAACTGATTGAATCTCTGCTGATCGGATAAGATAGATTAGGTCGCTGTGTCAGAAAGCAAAGAGGCACAGGTACAAGACGGCTACAGGATCACGTCCTCTAATATTTGCGAAGGTGAATGGTCTACTATCGACAAAGAAGCAGTGAAAGAAAGTATTTTTCTTTCGATATCAAGGAACAGTTACCAAACAGGATTTTTCATCCATTAATTTTCTGTGAGGAAGAACATTCGCAGTCACTTTAACTCTCTGCACTGTTTAGCTTTGTCTCGTCGATAGAAAAAAGAAATAAGACTGAAATATAGCTTTCAGGTCACGGATCTATAACGTGCATGCTCACATCCCTCATAGAATCGAACAATAACGGACGAACCTGAACTATGTGACTACATTAATTTAGCTTTGCAATCCTACTGCAAGTTTGTCAAACTTCCCCTAGCTACTTTACATCAGTCGACTGGCGTAGTCTACGTCATAGGTACGAAATGCGCTAACTAGGTACTCATCGACGTCCACTACAGTGAGAGGCAACCGTGCTTAAACCAAAATTTAGCCAGGAGAACGAGAATAATAGGATAAGAAACGGAAAAATCAATGAAAACGTAGATTGCGAGCTTCCAGGGAACCGGTAAGCGTTCGCATTAAAGATAGAGAGGTATACGTAGAGGGTACGGTGTCGAATCGAGGGCGGCGTATGCAGAGGCGTATATTTCGACAGATCCATAGGTACGGATAGCATTCACCGCGGCACCGTCGCCGGATGAACCTGCGGTCTCACCGCGATCTACCGCGCCGGTGAAATACCGTATGACTTTTTGACGTGCTTTTAACAGATTGAATTGAAAATGGCTTCCACGGTGCCGATATATTCGCGAGGCCACATCCATACCCTGGAAACGACTGTACGAACGGACGGACGTGAGAGACGAGATATATAATCTTCTTCTTTTCTCTCTCTCTCTCTCTCTCTCTCTCTCTCTCTCTCTCTCT